CAAGGATCTAAAGGGTGGGTTGAAGGAGGATGGAGCCAGACTCTTTCCAGTGGTTCCCAGTGACAGGACAAGGGGCAACGGGCACAAGCTGGACCATGGGAAGTTCCACTCGGATGTGAGGAAGAACTTGTTTGGGGTGAGGGTGGCAGAGCCCTGGCAGAGGCTGCCCAGGGAGGGTGTGGAGTCCCCTTCTCTGGAGATCTTCAGGCCCCACCTGGATGCTCCTGAGTGATGTGCTCTGGGCAGCCCTGCTTTGGCAGGGGAGTTGGGCTGGATGATCTCTAGAAGGTCCCTTCCAGCTCCAACAATTCCGTGACTCCACGAAAAGGGTGACTGACGCACCTGAAGCAGAGCAGGGTATGTAATTATATGAAGTAGCAGGATCACTCTTGCTACAGGGTGCCAGGGCTTTACTCAGCAAATCTCCTTGAGGACCCAAAATAGTTGTGTCACAAAAAGGGTGACTGACGCACTTGAAGCAGAGCAGGATACGTAATTATATGAAGTAGCAAGATCACTCTTGCTACAGGGTGCCAGGGCTTTACTCAGCAAATCTCCTTGAGGACCCAAAATAGTTGTGGGGCAGAGCATGGCTGTTTAAACCTTCTCATTGAGGAGTGGAGGGGGAATAGATGCTGAAAAGCCACATCCCACTGGGCAGGACGCTTGGGCTGTGCCCGCACTGTCCCTCCCAGCAGTAAGAGCTCCAGATGGCTTTCTTTTCCCTTTTACTTCTTTTTTTTTTAATTCATTCCTGGTTTTGGTGAGTTCCAGCCCTGTTTGAGCGGGGCTGCCAGCCTGGCGGGACAGTTTCCCCCCCGCAGTGAAAGCCTGATGCATCCTAATTTGGGAAAAAGGCAGCGTTTCCCTTTGTGCTCCTCCCAGGGGGTGGGGGGGGTGGGAGGTGCTGGGTGAGGGGGTCACAGACCCCCACATTCCGGTGGCTGAACGGCTCGGGCAGCACAGAGACATGCAGCAGCAGCAAATCCAGCATTTTCCTGGCCTCTAGAGTCAATGCAATAAGGTTTCCAGTATCTTTTATTTGCCCGTGGTTATTCAGGGGTTTGTGCAGGAGGAATTCTTACTCCTGGCCATTTTAATTTCTGCTTCCTTAGCTCTCGGTTGGCGTCACCGGTGCCGGTGTCCCAGCTCCAGGGATGAGGAAGGGGTGTCGGAGCTGCCAGTGGGGAGTTGTGCAGGGGATGGTTACAGACACCCCGGGGGCCAGGATTCTGAAAAGCCCCGTGATTTGGGGGAGCAGAGTCCACCCAGCGCTGCGTTTGCTGGAGAAATTCCACCTTCCTGCCCTCCTTCCCAAAGAGCTGCCGAGCAGCCAGGATGGGCTCTGCCAGACGGGGAGGAATGAGGCTCCTTCCTTGTGTTAATTAACTCTCTAATCTAAAGTTGAGGAAGGGACAAGCCCAGCGTCCCATCCAGGGGAGGGACGAGATGTCGATGCCTCTGCAGGGAAACGGTGAGAGGCTGTGGAGGAACAAGCCCCACGGTGCAGAATGCCACTAATGAGGTTTCCTTTCTTTGTTTTGGGGGATTTTCTAGTGGATTTTGCTCTGAAGGTGGTCCAGTGGTCAGAATCGGAGACGGTACGACTGCAGCTCTGGGACATCGCAGGTACGGTCACGCGAAGCTGCTCAGGAGCAGAATTTAAAGCTCTCAATGGCTTGGCCCTTTTTCTTTTTTTCCCTTTCTCTCTTTCAATAGGAGCCTGATACAAAAATAAATCCTAAAAGCCTGTGGATCCAAGGGACAGGACTGTGCTGGGTTGCAGTGCTGTCTCTAGTTTGCAGTAGCAATTTAAATATTCAATCAAAAGCCCATCTGCAGAGAACACAGCAGCGCAGATGAGAAACCCTATTGAGCCTTTTTTTTTTTGTTATTTCAAAGCCAGAACAGAGCAAACGGGGAAACAGGCTGATTTACAGCTGGATATGGCACTTCTCAGCTCCGAGTTTTCTGTTAAAGTCATAATTTCTGGCCTGATCCTTGGGTCTGAGCCTGGAGCAGCTCCACTGACCTCGTGCTGCCGGAGTCGGGAGTGGGGACGGGGAGTTGTGAGCGGAGCTGGTGGATCCCTCTGGAGCCATGGTGGGAAGAGGCTGGAGCGTGTCTAGGGGAGAGCCACCAAGCTGGGGAGGGGTCTGGAGAACAAGTCCTACGAGGAGAGGCTGAGGGACCTCAGTATGTTCAGTGTGGAGAAGAGGAGGCTGAGGGGAGCCCTCATTGCCCTCTACAACTCCCTGAAAGGAGGGCGTAGAGAGGTGGGGGTTGGCCTCTTCTCCCAAGGGAATAATGACAGGAGCAGAGGAAATGGTCTGAAGTTGGGGCAGAGGAGGTTTAGATTAGATCTTGGGAAGAATGACTTTCCTGAGAGGGTGGTCAGGCCCTGGAACAGCCTGCCCAGGGAGGGGGTGGAGTCACCATCCCTGGAGGTATTTAAGAAACGTGTAGACTTGGCACTTCAGGGCATGCTCTAGTGCCTGAGATTGTTGGGTTGGGTTTTTTGTGTGTGTGTGGTTGGACTCAATGATCTCAAAGGTCCCTTCCAACCATGAAGAAGATTCTGTGGAGATTCTGTGAAGGTGACCATGGGTGCCCCCGAGGTGGCCGGGAGCGGGGCACGCTCCAGGGGACAGCATTAGGTGTGATGAGGAGGAGTGAGGAGCACCTATTCCCATGGACAATGGGGGTTCCTGCGTGTCCCCAGCAGCAGCAGAGCCAGGACAGGCCCGAGCAGCAGCGTCTCGAAAATGGCACCTCTGGATCTAGAGGGGGGAGGACAAACGGGGCTGTGGTTTCCTCCGGTTTCGCTGCTCAGAGACGCGCGACTGGAATCCTTATAAAGAGAAGAGGAAGGAGAAGTTTGCAGCGAGAGGGTTGCAGCAAGAAACTGATTTCAGTTTCGGTCCCGAAAAGGCGTTTAAGATTCGGAAAGCGGAGGGGCCGCGCTGGTCACGGTGCTCTGGCCGTGCCCCCAGCAGCTGAGGACACCGGGACCCACAGTCCCTGCCGCGTGGCCTCCCTCCTGGGAGGGCTGCAGAGATGGCCAGAATCACACAGAATCACAGAATCACATGGAAGGGACCTCTGGAGATCATCCAGTCCAAGTCCCTGCCGCGTGGCCTCCCACCTCAGAGGGCTGCAGAGGTGGCCAGAATCACACAGAATCACAGAATAATCACATGGAAGGGACCTCTGGAGATCATCCAGTCCAACCCCCTGCCAGAGCAGGTCCACCCAGAGCAGGTCCCACAGGAACGTGTCCAGGTGGGTTTGAATGTCTCCAGAGAAGGAGACTCCACCACCTCCCTGGGCAGCCTCTGCCAGGGCTCTGCCACCCTCACAGCAAAGAAGTTCCTCCTCATGTTGAGGTGGAGCTTCTTATACTCAAGTTTGTGCCCATTTCCTCTTGTCCTGTCACTAGGAAGGTTTTGCCCACTGGGCTAGAAGGTTTGAGGTGACTCAAAGTGCTTGGAGCTCGATGGCTTCAGTGCGAGAAGCTCCGGGGCTGCAGGAGAGCCCACAGTGAAATCCCTCCGGTGTCAGAGTTTTGCCCACTGGGCAAGAAGGTTTGAGGTGACTCAAAGCGCTCAGAGCTCGATGGCTTCAGCGCAAGAAGCTCCGGGGCTGCAGGGGAGCCCACAGTGAAATCCCTCCGGTGTCAGAAATCCTGTTTTTCCCCTGCTTCTGACCCCGTGGGATGCAATGAGAAGGCTCCGTGGTGTGTCCCCATCCACACGGGTGCCATCAAACCACCCAGCTGGATAGTGGGTGCAGGTCTGGGTAGCAGAGGCAGGCCACAGGGTGTAAGAAGCAGACACAGCAGATGAGAGTTGTGATGGTTTCTGTTAGTACTGATTTTTCCTCCCCGAACAGCCCGGGCTGGGACACTGTCCCCACAGCAGCACGAGGCCATGCTGGTGGCATGGTTCCTGCTGGTGGTGGTGGCCAGGCCACCCTGCTGCTGGTGAGACTCTGCTGGGGATGGGGTGAACATGTGGTCGGGGACACTAAATTTAAATGGTTACACGGGGAGTAATGCAGGTGTTTCTGGGACATCCGAGTGTCTGGGCCAGGATTCAGAGCTGCCCAGTTTGTCCCAGTTCTGTGGCTGCATCCTGAGGTACTCCAGTAGGACACATCTCAATGCCCGTATTTCCTCATTATTTAAGTGGAGATTGTTAATGTGAGCTGAGAAAATGATGTACCGTGATAAACATGTTATTTGCATGAACAAAGCTAAAAATGGTGACTCTGGGGCGGGGGGGTTATTGATTTTTTCCCTTTTCACCCCCCAGGGCAGGAACGCTTCACATCCATGACCCGGCTCTACTACCGGGAGGCGTCAGCCTGCATCATCATGTTTGATGTCACCAACGTCAGCACCTTCACCAACAGCCAGAAGTGGAAACAGGATCTGGACAGCAAACTCCTGCTGCCCGACGGGAGCTCCGTCCCGTGCCTGCTGCTGGCAAACAAGGTGAGCAGCTCCAGAGGGGACATCTGTGTCTCCATGTGTGTCCGGGGGATTTCAAACTGGAAGGAGACCCCTTCAGCGTGAAGCCTTGCCCAGAGTTGTCCCATAGCCTGTGGCCTTTTTAATCCTTTCCTTAACTCTTGAATTTTCTTTCTCTAGCAAGGATTGTCCTTAGCAGGACACCAGTAGGATGCATTGCACCAGTAGGATGCAATGCGTGGGTGGCACCACGGAGATGTTCCCAACTGGGATTTTGGTGCCTTCTCTGTGCTGTCAGAGCTCAAGTTCTGTAGCCCCAGGATTATAAAGCTTTTCTTTTTCAGTCTCTAACTTGCAGTAGCCCGGGAAGGTCGGGGATGACGCTGCAGGTAAAGTTTCTGTTCGGAGGAGCCGGAGGGAGTTACTTTTCCTTTGGATGCAGGGTCAAGTTTCACCCTGTAGATGGGCTGCTCTCTTTTAAAGCTTTGTTTTTCTTTCATTTAAAAGCTTCCTTTCTGCTCTTCGTGTGCCAGCGTTGGCTCAGCGGCCCCTTCCAGGTGCAGTTTGAGACTTGCCTCCGATTGAGAGAGCCTAAAACTGGAGATGACTCACAAAACGTGGTGGGTGGGCAGGAGGGTGCCTTTTTTTTTCCCCATTTCTCCACGAATAACGCTCTTTCCCCAAATACCTGTTTTTAGGTGTCCATTTTTCCAGCATCAGGGGGAATCTGTGAGTGTATGTGCTGCAACCACCCTGGTACAAGCTCCTGTGGGGCAGCTTCTGCCTCATCCCATGTCCTCTGGGCATCAGCAGAGCTGCCTTGGTGTCACCACGCCGGGGTCTTGGCCAGGGGCTGGGCAGGTTCTGGATGGGTGACAAGGGTTCCTTGTCCTGCTCTGCCTGAACCTCCATTCCAGACGTGCTTGGCTGAGGTGGGGCAGCATCTCAGATGAGATAAATGGGTTGCTGTTTGCAACATCCCATTAAGAACCCGTGCCCTGAGAGCTCTCTCTATCAGCTCATCATCTTGGGAGATGGGAAGGGCTGAGCCTCCTGCCTGCTGCCTGCCTGCACCCGGGCAGTAAATGGCTGGGGTGGGGGAAAAAGTCCCCCTCCCAGCTTAAAAATTAAAAGGCTAAACTTAAAATGACCCGATTCTTTGCTTTGCAGTGCGACCTTTCCCCGTGGGCAGTGACAAGAGACGAAGTGGATCGGTTCAGCAAAGAAAATGGCTTTTCTGGCTGGGTGGAGACGTCTGTCAAGGACAACAAGAATATTAACGAGGCCATGAGGTAGGCACGGTGACGGGTGACACATCTCAGAGTTAATTCCCTCTTTCAGACACGGCCTGTCTTTGGGGTGAGGGGAGATGCTGTCAGTGAGTGACAAATGGCAGCAATAACACGCAAGTGAATCTCCCGAAGGGAAACTGAATTCCGAAAAGGTCAGAAGTTTTTCTCCCCTTGGTTGAGCTCTGGACATGTTTTTGGAAACAGAAATTCTTTCAACAACACCAGGGATGCTTTTTCTGGCCTCTACCAGGAGGATGGGATTTCTTCTGCAAAGACATTAGAAATTCTTTTGTGGTGCATCAGTCCTTTGATGGAGAATTTGGCCTTTTCTGGAAGGTTTTGGGCTGGGTATTCACAGCTGATGTCAAGGCTGGGCAGTTTGTACCCCAGCAGCTGGTTGCTGTGTCCCAGTCCTAAACTGGACCGAGGTGAGGTGGTTGCAGGAGGTGTTGGTGGTTACTGGTCACTGCGGAGTCTCCTGATGCTGCTGTTGGCAGAGCTTTGGGGTTCCTCAACCTGATTATTTAGTTTTTAAAGTTCTGGAGTTCTGTGTCCCTCTAGAATGAACTGCTGTTTCTTTTCTGTCCTGCTGAAAAACTGTGTGGCCCAGTGCTGCTGCTTTAAAAGAGTAAACAAAACAAAACAAACCCCAAACAAACTCACATGTGTTTGTCTTCCAGAGTCCTGATTGAAAAGATGATGTCCTCCTCCACCGGTGATGGAAGTTCCTCTGCTCCCGGGAGTGGGGATTACATTAACATCAAAGAGACATCCCCACCAGGCTGGGCTTGCTGTTAGATGCACTGACCACCCCTGCTGCAGTGATGGCGTTTTATTATTACTATTATTATTACCATTTTTTTTCCTAAACTGGCCATTGCTGGGGTTTTGGGTTGGTTTTTTTGGGTTTTTTTTACATGATGATGAACTGTCTTGTGTTTAGCCCGTATTCGTTCTCAGCAGAGCGTTGCTGCGACGACTTGGAGTGAGGAGCAGAAAGAGGAGAGGAGGGAGAAGATTCCTCTTTCTCCCAGCGTAGCAGCAACCAGGAGCTCCGGTCTGTGGTCAAGCACAGGGCTTGGATTCCTTTTTTTGTTTTTTTTTTGTTAAATTTTGAGCACTTCATCCTCTGGCACGTGATAGCCCGTCTCAGGCAGGGCGAAGGATGTCGACGGTGTATTTTTGATGTTGTTGCACATTTTCTTCCCCACCACCTGCACCCACCACGCACAGAGGCACCGGCACAAAGCGGTTCCCTTGGGGGCAGGCAGCGTCCTGGTGGTTGGTGTCTGTGGATTCCCCACGTGGGATTACAGCAAACCCGTGATTTGTGTCCTCCTAGATGAAGGAGGTGTTTTTAACGAGGTGTTTTTCACATCCTTCGTGCTCTGGAGCTCCAGACCTCTGCTGACACGTCCTGCAGAGACCAGCACACCTCACCACTGCTCTCCCTCTCCTGACTGTATGAACCCAGCGGTGGATTAGTGAGATGTCCCACCTACCCAGACCTCTAAAATCACTGCTGTGGATTTGAGACGTGGTGGGGCACAGCCCTTGCTTTCCTGTACGCTGGCTGGGGGGGCTTGACAGCAGAGACCTCAAGTTTTTGTCAAGAATTGCCCATTTGCTTCTGTTTATTCCTTGCTCCCCCTCTCTGTAGCACAACCCTATGTGTTCTGTCCCGCTGCCGCGTTGTGAGGGAGCCGGATGAGGAACAGGTTGTAAACTCCTTTGTAGGATGGAACAACGGGTCCTTTTCACTTTTAGAGCACCCCGTGTCCTCCCATCTCCAATAGCTTTGCAATTGCCCATGAATTGCCTTCCCACAATGATCCCGAGGTGGTGGGTGAGTTTGGGGACGGTTCAGGAAAGTTGGGCTGGGAGAGCAACCCCCCCCCCGGGTTTGGGTGGTGCCAGGGGGGATGGGGAGGAGAAGGATTTGAGGACAAAAGCGAATGAAAAGAACCACTCCCCGCTTGCCTTTCGATGCCTGCTTTCCCCAGGTGCTGCTTGTTGAGAACAGTCCCTGCCAACAACAACAACGAAGGGGTGAAAGCACACGAGGTAATTATCTCAGAAGAGTTAATAGGAAGCTGAGTCTCAGGCTGGAGTTACAGGGTTTAGGATTTGAACAAGCTTTCAACAATATTTTTCCCTCCTCTAGTAGTTTAGTCTGAAAACAGGGCTATAAATTGGTTTGTCCTGATTCTTGCTGAATTGGGGCTGCTTTTCTCTGGCAAAGTCTTCCTTTGGGCTGCCTTTTCTCACATTATACAATCTGTGGATGGAGAAGGGGGTAAGAAGGGGAACTGGTCGCCCTCACTGAGCACAACAAATTCTGAGCTGTCGTTCCCTGCAGTTGGGAAGGATTGATAAGTCAACAGGAAGGGCTACGAGATTTAGAACCGAGTTTTGTGTTCCACTTTTTAAATTAAAAAGCTAAAATGTGTGGGCTAGGATTCTGTTGTGCAAATACATTGCCAAAATTGGTTTTATAGGTGCTTAAATATCACCTTTGGAGTCACTGTAGAAACACGTGAAACGTGCAGAACTAGTTAGTGAGAAAATTGAACTTTGTTGAATTTTACTTCCTAATCATTGTGTTAAAGAAAATTTTTTTAAATCCTATAAATATTTCCAGTTCTTTATGGGAGAAGGGTCCAAGTTTTTAAGGATCTTTCACGAAACCATTAAGATTCATCTGTTATTTATTGATTTCTGGGTGTGCCCCTCAAAGCCTTCCAGCAAAGAGGTCAAGTGTTGGAACTCCTTATGGGTGGAGAAGCCGAGGCAGGGGCTGCAAATCTCTGCCCAGGACCAAAAAACTACCCCGCTCTGTAAGAGCTCAGCACTGAAAGGAAAATGCCTTAATTCCTCTTTCCATGGCCTCTTTCCTGGGCCATGCATCTCGCAGGGAAAGCATCTTTCTACCTTTTGCATGTCCCAGTGCCTCTCTGGTGTCTGGACCTCTTCTTCTGGACCTCTGGTTTTATTTTTCATAAGTGCCTCTTGGAATAAAACAAAAATCCAAAGGAAGATCTTTGGACATTTTTCTTCTCTTATAGATAATTTCTGTTCTGCCCAGTGGTTTCCAGTACCGGGGTGTGCCCTGGGTGTTATTTTTTTCCCTGCTGTTTGTTAATATCTTCATAGACACAGGAGACAAGTGTCAAAACCCGTTGCTGGAGATGGGTATAAAACCCCCACCAGGCAGGAAAACGACTTCACTCTGCAGGTGTGTGTATGTTTTTTCAGAGCTTGCTCTGCGCCACACGAGGTGCTTAAAAAAGCAAAACCCCCAACATCTTGATTTGAGTCCTGGTAAAACAAACTGACTCAAAAGCCCCATCTCAACTGGGCCAGGAGGGAGTGAAATGGGTCGTGCCCAGCTTGTGCTGGCAGGAATAATTCTTGTTTTTTAAAAGAACTGAAAGGGAAAAGGCGACTTCAGTGAAGCACATTCTCAGAAATATTTTAAACAAAGATAAGTCTTGTTCAGGCAGATCGATAAAAACTTGAATTTTCCAAATCTGACTCAGAAAAAGCCTCGTCTTTATTATGATGCTTCACTGGTGCCTTCGTCAGGAATGACCTGGTTTGGAAACGAAGGTGTTTCATCAAGCGAAGATTTTCCCTCCTGCGGTGCCTGCTTTGACTTGGTACTTTTGTGTGACTCTGGGCCAACTATTTCTCTCTTGAAGGTACCTATTTCACTCTTCCACGTGGGGTTGGTGGTGTTCCTCATTCCTGTAATTTCAATTTGTGGTTATGGGACTCAAAACCACCAGCAGTGTAAGGGTGCAGTTTGGATGCTGGTGACAGCACACTATGGGTCCACTTAGCTGGAAATTTCTTTTACTGCAGTAGAATTTGAAAGCATGAAATCAGAAATAAGTCAACAATATCAAAACTTTGCCTTTTTTTATTTTTATTTTTTTTAAAATCGCTTGCAGTTACGCAGAAGTATTTTAGAGACAGGGTTCTGATCACTGTGAAGGTGCAGTATTACCATGTTACTTAGAAGAAGCTGCCGGGAGGTTTTCTCCCCATCAATCAGTAACTAATGCACTATTGCAAAAGTTGGAAATAAAAGTTTGATGTTGCTTGTGTAGTCGCTGCTGTTGTTGTTGTTGTTTTCCTCTCTCGACAGCCCGAACAAAGGGGGTTCACGAGTTCAAACTGGAACCAGTCTCGCTGTGGGTAATGGGGGGGGGGTGTGGGTATAAAACACGAGCTGCCCTGCGCTGCCAGCAACACAAATTAGATCCTTTTCACCGAAACATCCTCCTGTCTCAATTATGGGAGTCGCACTGACCCACAAGCAGGATGTGAGCAGGCAAAACTTTCGCATCCCTGAGTCAGTCCTAGCGGCTTTTAATCCAATATACCCAGCTAAGAGGAGGAAGAAAAGAATTCCTTGATGTGGTGGTTTGTTAATACGCCTTCCTCCTTATGGCTCATTAATTCCCAGAGGGTATTTTGGGGCTGGCTACGCGGGCCGGCAGTTGCTCTGAATGCCCCTCTTTCTTCCCCCATCAGCTTGATTTTCATGAGTATTGACTTGCACGAAGGACAGGGCACATCTGAATTGATCAGAAAAATGGCAGTCATTCCAAAGGAGACAAATTAAGCTCGAGCAAGGCATTAAATGAACTCAAATTACTCCTATAATTAGGTAAAAGCTGACCATACTTGTGTTGTCAAACACAAATAACCCACTATATAAAAAAAAATAATATGTTTTTAAGTACTGTCTTTAATAAAACTGAGGAATGAGTCGCTCTGAAGATTCATGTGCAAAGCAAAAGGGACTTGCTGTTGCAGAAGCTGCCATTTTAATGGACTGTGGAATACATTTTCTTTTTCCACAGCAAAAGAAGCTCCTTTGCTAAACAAAATGAGTAATTTGGGGTTTCTAAGGAATTCAAAGTCTAAGGAACCCCAAATCTTCCCTGGACTTTGCATGAGTTGTGCATTTTCTTTATATCTGTTGACTAGTACAGAGAAAAGTGGTGGTGGTAATGAAATCAGTAGTGACCATTGGAGAATCATAGACTAGAATCACAGAATGGTTAGAGTTGGAAGCAGACTAGAACCACAGAATGGTTAGAGTTGGAAGGGACCTTAAAGATCATTGAGTTCCAACTCCCCTGCCCTGGGCAGGGACACCTCCCACCAGACCAGGTTGCTCCAAGCCCCCTCCAACCTGCCCTTGAACCCCTCCAGGGATGGGGCAGCCACAGCTTCTCTGGCCAACCTGGGCCAGGCTCTCACCACCCTCACAGCAAACAAGTTCTTCCATAAATCTCATCTCAATCTCCCCTCTTCCAGTGTCAAACCCTTCTCCCTTGTCCTACAGCTCCCCTCCCTGATCCAGAGTCCCTCCCCATCTCTCCTGGAGCCCCTTGAGGGACTGGAAGGGGCTCTAAGGTCTCCCCGGAGCCTTCTCTTCTCCAGGCTGAACCCCTCCAACTCTCTCAGCCCCCCCTCCCAGCAGAGGGGCTCCAGCCCTTGGAGCATCTCCGTGGCCTCCTCTGGCCCCGCTCCAACAGGTCCATGTCCTTCTGGTGGTGATGGCCCCTAAAGCTGGGGGCAGTAAAATAAGAAAATCAATTAATAAATAGACTTTTAATGAACAGAATTCATTCTCTGCATTTCACACCAAATCTTTGTAATGAAAAAAGCAGCTACGTGCTGTAAAAATCTGAAAGTACGTAGGTTTAGGGTAAACCCCATCGCACGGCGTACTCTGACCTGGCGGGGGGCTCACCTCGGGGCACGGAGGTGCGGCTGGAGCCCCGGTGTCGGAGCACGAAGGGCTGAGGCAGAGGATGCGGTGGGTGCTCCCGGGACCCGGCGTGACCCCGCCGGCGGGGGACAACCACCGAGCCCTCCCGGGTTGTGTATTCCCCCCGGGCAGGCGGGCCCTGAATGGCAGCACGCTTCCATGACAAAGGGGCTGCCGCAGGAGGCGGGGATCCCCCCTCCCGGGCCCTAACCTCCCTTCCTAAGCCCCGGCGGGCCCGGCAGGCCCGACCCCTCCACCGGCGGCTCTCCCCTGAGGGGAGCCGGCGGGGCCCTGTAGGCCCCACGCGTGGGCCGGGCCCTGAGGCCGCGGGGCAGCCGCGGGTGGGCATGGCGTGTGGAGCGGGACGGGCACGGCGGGGCCCTCGACGTTCCCCCGGGGCCGCTGCGAGGCGGCGCGGCGCTTCCCCGCCTTTTCCCTCCAAAACCACGCCGGGCCCCGCGCGGCGAATCTGCGGGTCGGGCCCTGCCGACCCCCTCTCCCCGCCCCGGCTCTATGCAGCCTCGGAGGAAAAATCCAGAGCAGGTCCCGGCGGTGCCGGGACGGTGCCGGTGGGGCGGGATGGGGCGGCCGCGGCGCCGGGGGATGAAAGCGGCGGGAGGCGGTGGCGAATCTGCCGGCGGCGCGGCGGGCCCGCTCTGCCGCTCACAGCAGCTTGAGCGTGTGGGGCGTCCTCGCCCCCCTCCCCTCCCCGCGGGGAGAGAGTGGGCAGGGTCTGCCCGCCGTGATGGTTCGAACGAGCCAATGAGAAGCAGCCGCCCGCCCGCCTCCGCCAATGAGCGGAGGGAGGAGGTGGTGCCAGCGGGGTAGGCTGCACCGCCCCCCGCTCGCATCCTCTCGGCGGTGCGAACGCGACCATTTTGCGGGGGGGATCGGCGAGCGGCGGCGACCGCGGCGGCGGCGGAGCGGTGACCGGGGGCGGGGGGCGCCGCGGGGCCCAG